TGACCCAGAGAGCGAGCACAGTTCTAACAGGAAGGAGCAAGCCTGTCCCTGTATGCTCAGTGAGATGACGTAGTTTGATGCAAACCTATACCCAGGGAGACATAGGCTTCTCCACTTAACTTGCCTGAAAAATAGGCTTGATCATCTTTCCTCTGCACGGGCTGCGTGGGGAGTACAGGAAGGCAGCAATTTCTAGATGGGGTCCTTGTGGATGTGCCATCTCTAGAAGTCACTATCTTTATTGTTCTGTGTCCTGGAACCCTTGATTCACCCATCAGTGAAAGCGGAAAAGTCAGTTTTTAGTGCTTTCCCTTAAAGTTCAAAGGGCCATTTCACCAAAGTCTCAGCATTTTTTGCCTGCGTTGGGGGATGCATCCATGCTTTTGCACACCTTTTTGGGCTCTCTTTGGAGTTGTATCTGGGGGAAGAACCCAGGGAGCAGTGCCTGGTTCCTGATCTTTGCCACTCCACTACGAAGTGTAGAGCTGAGCCAGGTTAAGAGGCACGAATATGAACAACCGAGGGCACAGGCTGGAGGAAGGTTTCAGAGATGGGAGTCAGAGGCTGGGACCTCCCATGAGGGAGACCTCCCCAGAGGTCTGCCACTGAGCCAAAGGGCAGCCGGGACATCTGGCAAGGAGGTGACAGGCTTTGGGACAACCAGTGAGAAGGGGAACAGACTTTCAAGTTGGCAGTCACAGCTTCAGCGTGTGTTTGGAATCTGGACAGCTAATCTGGATCCAGGTGGCCAGACCCACATCTAGATGAATAAAGAGGAAGAAGAAAGGAGTGGGGCGGGGGTGGAGAGGGAGAAGGTGATGGGAGGAAGGGAGAAGGGATGAGAAAGGAAAGGAGGCAGTCTTGACAGGGACATCAGAGACTCTGGTTGACACCCTCAGTGCTGACTGCCCACCCACCTGAGACTTGGTGATGCTAGTATGCAGGACTAGACCTTAGAGCAGCCTCCACATCATCCTACGGCACTGGTGTTCCTATCTCCAGCCTCTCTCTGCCTCCTAGTTCTGCCGGCATCAGCACACACACTGGCAGATCACATCTTCCCCCACAATGAGTAAGACTCTGTCCCCAGATGCCTCCTACCTTCTTGATCATAGGGAAGGCAGACAGTCACTTTCCTTAGAGCATAAGCTGGGTACCTTCAGCCTCCCTTAGGAAGGCTGGGTGGCAGGACATGGGCTGGGGTCTGTCCCAGGTGCTTTCAGGTGTGTGAGTCAGAGCAGGGGCTGCCCAGCTTGGCATCACCTCCTCCCAGCTGCATGTCTCCTCAGGCCAAGAATAACTTTCAGTCATTTGTGTCTTCAGTTTTACATGCAATCACTGGTGTATCAGGTTGTATGTGGTTTGATCATTCATAGCTTTCTGTAATTATTTAAATGTTATTGGTATATATTATACCAATACAAAATAATAGGCCTTGTTATGAGACTTCATACATGTACATAATTACTCCCTTTATTGTCTCTTGTCCCCCACCCTTTTTTCTCTTTCCAAATTGTCTCCTTTACACACACACACACACACACACACACACACACACACAGAGTGATAGACTCTCCCTAGCATACAGACCAGGATGGCCTTGAACTCACAGTTTTCCTACCTCTGTCTCCTGAGTGTGACACCACTCCTGACTTTTTTTTTTTAAATGTAGATTCCATATATGAGACACGATGTGATCTTCATATTTCTGCATCTGGCGTGTCTCACTTACAGGGTGATTTCTACTTCCAGTTTTCTGTAAACAGCAGCATTTTGTTCCTCTTTATGCCTCTGTAGTACTGAGGTAGCGATCTAGATTTGTTCAGGTATGTACTCAGGGGTGATGTGGCTGGGCTGTGTAGTATGTCCATTCTTTTGAACACTTTCCATGCTGATTTCCATAGTGGCAGCACCCGTTTCTATTCTGACAGCAGCGCAGATAGTTCCTGGTACCTGCATCTTTGCCAGGGTTTGGTGCCTTTTGCTTGATGATAGCCCTTCGTACTGGAGCAAGATAGGATCCCAGTAAACTCTTGATTTTCATTCCCCTCATTGCTAATGATAACATACGCTTTATGATTCTATTTTTGAGAACTGTCTCCTATGTGAATTTTAGAATTTTTTCTAGTTCTGTATAGAATGTCATTGAAGTTTTGATAGACTTATTTCTGCCATCTTGTTTCACGGCTACTTTTTGTTTTGTTTTTGCCTTGTTGCACATCGCCCCATGTGCTTTGTTCTCTCGTACTGACTAGGAAGTCCAAGGTTTTATTTCTGTTTTTCAGAGTTATGGTATAGACATTAGAGTATGCCTACTTGTGTTTTCCTGTCAACATCAGGATATAATCAGGGTCTGTAGCCTCTTCCCAGAGAAAGCAAACTTCAGACAGGGTTACATATTCATTAACCTTTGCCAGAATAAGGACATCACTTTACTGCTGGGATTACTGAGGCTGGGAAGATGGCTCAGAGGTTAAGAACCTGTCTGCTCCAGCATAGGAGCTGGGTGGAGCCCCCAGCACTCACGCTGGGGAGTACACAACAGCCAGCAACAGCTCCGACTTCTGGCCTCTGGAACATACCAATACACACACACACACACACACACACACACACACACACACACACACAAAATTCAAAATAAAAATAATTTTAAAAGTTTAAACTAGTGTTTTCCTCATCTTCAGATTTTAGAGATTTCTATATTTGGAAATAAAACATTCCAGAGCCCTTCAGACGTTGAACTTGCTGCTTAGGTATATTCACCCGGTAGCCAGTTACCTTTTCATGGCCCCCTTCTCACACATGGCTCATCAGGGCCTTACTAAGTTGCCTGGGTTCACCTTAAACTTCCTGTCCTCCCCCCCAGCCTCATTAGCGGTGGAGGAGGTAGACCCGACCGCCGAGCCTGGCGCCCAGAGTCTTTTAACTGAGCGACAAGTGTTATCTTTATTCCAACGCTTTCCTGACAGAGACCGTTTACAGTGCTGCTCATCCTTCTCCTTCCTGGAATTAGTTTGTACTTTGCTGATTTGTGTTTTCCAAGAGTTCTTTTAGAAAATGTGGGAATGTTCCTGCAATGTCAGATATGAGCAGTTCCTTCCCAGAGGGTTTTTGTGTTGTTGGTGTTTTGAAGACAGAGTGTCTTGTAGCCCAGGCTGGCCTTGAACTCCTGGTCCTTCCGCATCCACCCCCCAAGCGCTGGGATTACAGGTGTGTGCCACCATGTCAGGCTTCAGGGGCATCTCTTTTATTTTCAGGTTCATATTGAGCTTTAATTTTTTAATGCTCCCTAGGTTATTTTTAGAATATATTCACAGACTTTCCGGGCGTATATTAGCTACACTATGAGTCTTGTGACCTCTGCTCATGTTCGTTTCTCCCCACGCACAGAAACCAGTCCTATCACTTAGATAGGCAGTTAGAGTAGGCGTACCTAGGAAGAAAGGCAGAACTGGAGGATCCAGCCTACCTTAGAAGTGGAATCCCGGGGGGGGGATCCCCAGATTCCTCATTCTGTGGCTTTCCCTGCCTCCTGTCCACAAGTGATTCTACATGAGGACCCCTCCCCTCTTTCTTCTCAGGATGTGACTTGAGGTGTTGCATGGGGTCTGCCAGGCTCAGCAGCTCGTGTGAGAAACTGAGCCCCGCAAGCTCTGGCTTCTTCACCTCAGTGGCTCAGCTTAGGGTCCAGCCGCATGCTCAGTACAGCCGTGACTTAGAAAGTGTTCAAATCTTGTCACTCTTCTCCCCATCTCATGTTGCCCGGATGATCTGGAAGCCTCCTAACTAGTTGCCTGCTTCCACTGGAGGCTGGTCCCCAACTCCCTAACCTTGGACCAGCCTTCTTACAATGTCGTCCTCTGGATCCTGTCTTAGCCTACATTCTCCACTGGGCCCCGTCCTGCTGAAGATGAGGGAGAGCATAGGGCAACAGACTCTCATGCCCCCCCCCATCAGCTGTTGGCCGCACCTCTACCTCTGAGATTTTTGGGTATTCCCTCTGCTGGAATGTTGCTTCTGGGGTCATGTGACTCTGATCCCTCCTGCATTTTGTCATTACTCAAAGGGCACCTCCTGGGAGGGGGAGATAGCTTCTTGACCTCTCCAGACTAACAGCAAAGGCTGGAGCCACCCTCCCCCTGACTTGATTGACCCTTCTACCATATGTTTACCTTTGGTAAAGCCATGCCAGCCATTCAGTTGTTTACCCGCTTTACTACTGGATTTTAACCCCATTTACCATGTAACCAAAGTTCCTCCAGCCTGCCTGGCATATCGTAGGTGCTCTGATAGTTCTAAAATTAATAGACAAAATTGCCTAACCTCTCTCTCCTTTAATTATTCAAATACAATACAAGTACTTTGGGGTTGGCTCTCAACTAGACAGGAGTACTTTGTGTCAGGAAGGAAGAGTGAGCAACAGGGATTCTTGCAGTAGGAGTGGTGAGGGTGACAGGGGGCTATGGTGGCACCCCAGCTACCACCCAGTTCCTATCCCGGATGCCCCTTCCTGCCATTTCCATCCATTCCTTGACTATTGGAGATGATCCCTGTCCACACAGAGCTTAGGCCCTCCTCACTGGGCTGGTTTCTTTGGTATTCTCCACACCTGAAGTCTTCAAGGTGGAGGCCCTTTTTCTACATACGTGAAGGAGGAAATGGAGGTGCTGAGGGTCAGGCGCACCCCAGAGAACCCCAGTTTTTAAGGGCTAAACCAGGAATCCATGCCTAGCTCTGGGGTTCCCCAGAGGGACCTGTGAAAGCTGTCTCTGACTTCATGAGGCCATAGCATTGTGGTCCAGGGAGCCCAGAAGCTGAAATGCGTCAGACAGAGCCTGGCACAGAAGCCGCCTCTGAGCTGGCTGGAAGTCCTCCTCTGAGGGCAGCTGGGACTGAGCTGCTGCAGGGATAGTGGCAGCTGTAGCCTGGGGCTCTACAGTCTCCAGTGGCTCCAGTGGGATCAAGGGCAGCCCCTGAGTGACCTAATTCCTCTCCAGTTCTAGACACAGCAGGGCAGGAGGAGTTCAGTGCCATGCGGGAACAGTACATGCGCACTGGGGATGGCTTCCTCATCGTGTACTCAGTCACTGACAAGGCCAGCTTCGAGCACGTGGACCGCTTCCACCAGCTCATTCTGCGTGTCAAGGACAGGTGAGAGCAGCAGACAGGGCCTCCCTACTCTCCGTCCTCCTCTCTACCCCTCCCCCTCTTCTTCCCTCCTCCCTTTTTTCTGTCCCCCCCGCCCCCAGATCTTCCATTACTTCCTCTAAGGTCTTCCCTGACCCTTTCTTGGTTCCCAAGCTGCTCCCAAGACTCCAAGGCTCATGCCCCTCCTGTTTTCAGAAACTATCCCTCAATCAAGGAATCGTTGGTAATGTCTTTGCTTTCCAACTCCAATTTAACCAAATTGCATTATATGCAAAGAAAAGTGAATTTCCCCTCCAGAACACACTGAAATTGGTTAAATTGCATTTGACTATAAGATTTACAATTCGCACATTAAAGGCTTTTTTCCTTCACACCCTATAACACAATTAAATCACCTAGTGTCTGTTTTAAGCCCATCTAACACTGCCAGCCAAAGAAGCAATGCAAAAAGAAAAACAATAAATGACAGAACACAGCAGGCTTTGATTTAATCCCAGTAGAGATGGAGAAATCTAGCCAATAGCCGCCCCACAAGCAAGGGCTTGTAGCTTTACCTAGCAGAGGGGCACATGCTTGCAGAGCAGACTGCAACTGATTGATGTCCATTCAGCCCATGAATATATACAAACCTCAAAAGAGACCCCTGAGTGGTCCAGTGGTGGGGAAATCTTAATTTACTTGCTAATCAAAGAAATAAAAAGTAGCATTTTTTTCCTTACAAATTACAGGGTATTTTTCTCATGAAAATATCTAATATTGCCCAAAAAGCCATAGGGCTGAAGTTTTGTTTGGTTCTCATGTCAGTAAGATGCTGATGGGACATGTCTCGCCATCCCGCACCTCCTCTTCTTGGAGCCATTCTTATTTTGCAGCTGCCGGTTGTGCAGTACCAGCCCCATCCCTGGTGCTCTCCATGAATCCTGGCTGAGAGCTGCAGTGGCCTTGCATGGTTTGTATATCAGAGTATTGGAGAGCCGAGGAGTCTCTCTGGGAAGCCAGGCTCCTCACCCACAGCCTCAGGCCAGCATCAACACTAGCCCCGCAGCACACCCCAGGCTCCTCCTTCCCAAGTCCTTATCTCCACTGGAAAAGAGGAGGCGCACTGGGGAACTGCTGTGGGGGTGGCATGACACAAGGTCCCGTTGTGATCACTTTGGGCTGGTGGTGCCGGAGGATGCATCTCACGTAGCTGTTGTTCTCCTGCTTCACAGGGAGTCTTTCCCAATGATCCTCGTGGCCAACAAGGTGGATTTAATGCACCTGAGGAAAATCACCAGGGAGCAAGGAAAAGAAATGGCGACCAAACACAATGTAGGTGTATGTGCTTGTGCGTGCTTGAGCATGTGTGCGTGCGTGCATGTGTGTGTGTGTGTGTGTGCGCGCCATGTGCAAGTGCACGTATGTAGGCATGTGCTCTGGGGACCTCAGGACTATGTGTGACAGTCCATATGTCATTCCTCCTGCAGTACTGGTCTTTGGAAATGGGAGTAAGACCTCCCTTATCCCGAGAAACAGAGGCAGAGAGACCACAGGGTGCAATGTGGCAGGATATTATCTGAAACGAGCAGCAGGCCAGTGAGAAAGCACCCTCTGCAGCCATAAGAGGCCCTGGGGAGAGGGCGGACAGCTTCCTTCAGAGTTGCCTGGAAACTGGGGTTTGGTGGAGGGCTGCTCTGCCTGGGGCAGCACATAGCCAACACTGGACCGCGCAGAGGTGGTATCTCTTCCGGCTGGCTCACAATCTAGCTCTTCAGTCTCATGCATGAGAAACCTGGTGATGCTGAGTCACAGCGATCTGCTCTGTTCACTGAGTCCGTGCCCAGCACTGTACTGGGGGGAGCACGGTTATCAGATCCTCTACCCTTACAGCCACAGGCATCCTTATCTCCACTTGCTAAACATTAAAACTGAGATCACTCCAGCTATACCCTATCACAAGCATGTTAGCTTTCTGAGTTCATTGCAATGTGCTTGCCCTCTGGATAGTGTTGGGTCAGGTCTCTGTTCCCCATCCCCATACTGGCACAGTGGACTGAGTCTTGTCTGCTGGCTGGAAAGTCTGATGCAAGGTAGCCCCGTCTCTGCCTACTGCCTACTCTCCACATAGAGAAAGGCATGCTGGGAGCTAGTTTTGCCTGTCTGTCTTCTGTATTTATTCCTTTATTAATTCCATCATCCTAGGTCCTGGGGAACAAGAGTTCCCTGCTTTTGGTGGAGACAGGCAGTAAGCAAAGTAAATTAGTTTGAAGTTGACACATCCTGTGGGAACAAGCAAACCAGGAAAGGGAGGTCAGGACAGGGAAGAGGAGGTACCTTTTAAATGGGGTGGGGTGGGTCCAATTCATCAAGGACTTAAGGAGGCAAAGGGATGGCCAGACAGATATCCTAGAACATCCAGCAACAGAAATGATCTGTGCAAAAACCCTGAGGTTGGAGTTTGCGAGCTAGCGAACAAGCTGCCGTGGCTAGGCAGGTCGAGGTGGGCGAGTAGTCAGAGCTGTAAGGAGCTGTGGCTCTTATAGAGGCTGAGGAGGAAAGCCACCAGGTGGTTTAGAGAGAGGTGTGACATGTGCCCGAGCAGCTTCTCTCCTGTGACATGTTCCCAGTCCACTGGGAAAGGAGAAGAGCGGAGAATCATGCAAGGGCTGCCCCAGTATCACATGAGGCCAAGCAGTACATTTGGCTGTGCTTCAAAGAACCAGCAGCATTTGCTCACAGCCTGTATATGGGGTGAGAGAATGCAAGGTGGGTCCATGTGTTCTGAGGCCCCTAGATGCTGAGGATTGCTGAGCTCCCAGAAGTGTAGGATGCCCAGGGGCTCTGGCTATAGGTAGTTTCCTGCCTCCCTTCTGCATGTGTCCAGGGCTGCACAACATCCTGACCCATAAGTCAGGTTCTACCTGGTTCTTATCAGGGATGCTTAGCATGGGTAGACACGGCATCCAGTTCGCAAGAAGCTCCAATGCTGACAGTGCACAGCTGCTCAAGTGGCGAAGAAGAAGGCTCTCACTGACTCTGCTGGCCTGGCAACGTGGAGTTCTTGCAGGCGTGTCATTCTGAGCTCTGTCTCCACACTGCAGGATGGCGCTCGCCTCTGAGGGTTAATTCAGCAAAAGCAAGAATAGGGTAACCTGGAAAGCCGAATAACCATCGCACTGTGGAGGTTGTTGTTCTTTCAGGGTTATCAGAGGCTCAAATAAAAATGATAAAGGCCTGAGCTGGGCCCTTTGTGTGTCCCTGCACTACACTGAGGCCTGTGCTTGAAGCCACTGCAGTGTGTGGACGCTGGACTTCACACGTATGGATGCTGACCCCTGTGTGTCCTGGGCAAAGCTTCCCGACAGATGCTCCAACACCTCAGCGTGTTCTGCCACTTTCCCTGTGCATTTAGTGCATTTATTCCCTGTGCTTAGCTGCTTTAAGTGCGTTAGAATAAAAGGCACTAATTTTGTGATCAGGAAAAATAAATGTTATGAAAAACAGCAAAGCCCTTTGGTCTAACCTCAGCCAGTTTACCCCTCCCCAACCTTCCAGGAGGCCAGGGCATGTTTGTATGTGGAGGGATGAGCCCTTCCTGACTCTCTGGCATACCTTACCTCCCAGAGTCTGTTCCACTCAGCCTGTCCAAGGCATGGTATGGATGTGGCCCATGAGGTGGCAGGCACAGCTCCCATGGGCTGCTCCCATGGGCCTAGGCTGGAGAGCTGGGGTAAGGGACCAAGGTGACCCAGGTCCAGAAGTCCAGCAGACTTCTCCTCAGCCTCCCCACTGAACTTCACTCTGGAGGAGCTCAGGGCAAAGGTCAGAGGTCACGCCCAGAAGAGGACCGAAGAAGGCACAGTATGCCTCGGTGTGGGAAGCGAAACAGTTTGCTCTGTTAGTATAAAAAGACTAACTGGGTTCTGTTTCAGGGAGCGATTATCTCTGTGCCTGGAGAACAGGATGGGGCTAGAGAAGCCATTAGTGACACTCTCCAGCCTTACAAGTCAAGAAGCCCTAGAAACTTGTGGGGATTCTATCTGATCCTCAGAACCTCTAGAGTGTCCATCTTAAAGGTGGAAAAGGACTTTGTGGGTCATGGTGCCAGGTTGACCAAGCTGAGCATTGCCTTCCAGATCCCGTATATAGAAACCAGTGCCAAGGACCCGCCTCTCAACGTGGACAAAGCCTTCCATGACCTCGTTAGAGTAATTAGGTGAGCATTGTTCCCTCCCTGACAGCTGTGCCCCTCCCTGGCAACGACCTCTGTGGTAGAAGGGGCAAGCCATATTGCAACTGGAATACAAGAATAACACAGCTCCTGTGCTGGGCCAGGAGCCTGGGCAGTGCCAAGCCTAGTTTGCCATTTCTTGTTTGCATTTCCCCCCTGTGCTACCTCCATCTCTACACTGCCCCCAGATATAATGGGGCGGGGGTGCGAAGGCTGCAGGCATGCTGTGGAGATCAGGTATCCTGGTACTCTCAGAATCCCGAGCTTTCAACATATCCCACACAGCGAAGATCAGACCCCTCTTTCTACCCTCTGAAAACAGACAATTATGGTTCCTGGGCTCGAATTCCAGAGGCACTGTGTGTGTGTGTGTGTGTGTGTGTGTGTGTGTGTTCCCAGATTCACAACCTGTGGGTCTTTAAGTGCCAGAAGCCCCGAGAACAGACTCCTGGACGTTCCTTTAAAACCTTTCTCACTTCATGTTGGATAACCGAAGTTGCCTCCCGGTTGTGTTTCCTGCCACCATCTAGTCCGTAGTATTCTAACCGTTTAACATTCCCAAGAGTTAAACCCCTGTCTTCAGTACCTTATGTGGGTGACTCAGGAGCTGTTGGTCAGATGTGACTCAGATCTAACCTTGTCATGGTGCCCCATGTTTACCACCTCTTGGTCCCCTGCCACGCGTACACCCCTGCTTCTAGCCCCACACTCTGCTGCACTGCCTGATTCCCCGTGTTAGTGCCGGAAGTGATGTGCCCCCCACACTGCTGTGTACTGCTCTGGGCTGCTGGCACCAAAGGTACCCTTTGGACCTAGGAATGGTTAACGGAAACCGATTAACAGGCTTTTGCACTCAGTTGACCAGTTGTCTAAAATATGAAAAATTAAAAAAACAGAAGTCCATTCCATTTTAAAGCTTGATGGTGTTTACAATCTGAATAAATTAGTCATTACTTAATGTCACTGATCCCAGTCAGGTGACTCTGGTTTCCCTTCCCTTCCTCTACAGTCTTCTTAGACTAAGATGCTTTGTAGCCTGGTCTCCTTGGGTGGCCAGGACAGCAGCACCCCCAAGCTCTCCCTCCATCCCAGAGAGGGGCAGAGGAGGAGAAAAAGCTTGAACTGACTTTGTCTTTCTGCCCTCCATTGTTGAACAGGCAACAGATTCCAGAGAAAAGTCAGAAGAAGAAAAAGAAAACGAAATGGCGAGGAGACCGGGCCACGGGCACTCACAAACTTCAGTGTGCGATCTTGTGACAGCCTGAAACCCTGGGTGTAGCCACCATGAACTGCTAGCCCCGGGACCAGCCCACTGCCTAACTGCACTGAGAACCATTTCTTACCACAGCCCTTGGCTCTGGACTGGGCACAGGAAGGGAGCAAGGGAGGATGGGTAGGAGCAGACAGGGTCTGGCTTTGCCATCTCTCCCAGGAGACAAGCAACAGCTTCCAAGCCCTCCGTGTGTTGATTGAGCCCAGTTCCCAGTCTCTCGGTGATGTGTGGTTTCTTTTAAGTACATAGGGCTGATTTGCTGTGGAAGTGTTTATCCACATCCAATATACTAGACAAGCCATGAACAAGCTTCCTCCCCGACCCCGTCCCCAGTGTCTGAGCTCTGATGTCTTTTGTAGATTTTTAAATTATTTGAGTAATGATTATTTTATTAAAGAGGCCTGTGCCCACTGCCTGGTGAAGCCCAGGTCTTCAGCAGACCTCTCGGATAGTGTCGGGAACAGCGCTCTTGTCTTTTTAACTGAGAGTTCCTAGCAGTGCCAAACTTCATCCAGGATGAATGGCGGAGATGGCAGAAGTTAGTGGAGGTCTTGGCAGAAGCCTGGGGTAGAGTCAAACCCAGGAAGCAAACCCCAGAGACTGGAGAGAGGGCGATGGATTTATCTGGAGGATGTCGGTGTAGTTGAAAATGCAGAGATTAGAAAAATCCCCTCATTGCTACCCGCCCCCACCCCCACAGCCATTGGAGTGAGAGCTGACTGGGGCCATTTCACCCCAGAAGGGTTTTCCTTATCCTAACAGTGGGCGGGGCCAGTGACTGGCTTTGCCAGCATGTTCATTTGTTTTTCAGGCAGTGGGTAAATTCTGTGTTCAGATGTGGACAGGGCCCTGAGCGTCTCAGATGTGTCCCTTCCTGCTTGCTCACATCCTGTGTGTTGCTATGCCCCTGACAAACACAGGGGCATGTCCCAGGAGGTGACTGTGACACCATCCAGAAAGCTGTTGTTCTGTGATCGTTCTTAGCTGAAAGCACTCAATACTATTAGCACCGAAACATCAGGACCTGAAGCCATCTCCATCTGAGTCAGCTGACTACCACCTTTATAAGCCCAGCCAATGAGCACACCCCTTCTGGCATCAGTGTTACGACTGCCTTTTGGTGCACACTTCCACTGCCTTAGGTCTTCTGTCTCCTGTCTTAGATCACAGGGGAAAGGAAAGTTGAGCTGGTAACATAGTCCCTACACTGTTTCAGCAGGGATACTGCTCTCCCACCAGGTTGCACCCTTCCCTCTCTGCTTCTGTTGGTGGGGTAAAGATTGAGTTTAGGGGGACAAGAGGGACGAGATGCACTCTGTGGGAGGGTCACAAAGAAGGCAGGACAGCTAGTAAGCTATTTGCCAGCTTACCACGCAACATGGCAGGTCCCCACCAGGTGGCTGGGCCACTCTGGAGAAAGAAACTCATGGAAAGAAATCCAAGGCAAGTGAGCACCAAGCGGATGTCCAGCCTCACGATGCTTTTCAATCCAGAAAGTCTTAACTTGTTGACACACAGGACCCGCGTCACCGAAGGCCCCATCCAAGGGACAGTTCTGCTACAGAAGGAAGTGATTGTTAGCTGAAGATCAAACTTCTAACTTGTCAAACTGCCACCCTTCGCCCCACATTTTTCTGTTTCTAAAAAGGATACCAAAGAACATTCCAGATGAGGTATCTCACCATTTCCAAGATCCTGTAATACTTAGGAATTTTTCAACGCTAAGAGGACCGGGCTTTCTCTGGCCTTAGACTCTTGGAGTCGCACCCACTGCAACTGCCGCCTGGAGAGGTGCAGGGTGCTCTCCATGGAATACAGAGACGGAGACAGAAGGCCCTGTTCTCGGGGCAGCAGCCACTATCAGAGAGCCCCCGTCTCCTGCCCACAGCACCCCTTCATCTGGAACCACACCTCCACTGTGCTGAGTAGGGACTTTCACTGGAAGCAGAGCAGTTGCCCCAAGTCACACAGAAGGAGGCTCTCAGTACTCCTGCCCTCCCAGAAGAGACAGCGCATCCAGGCCCATCATCCGGGACATTCATTCTCAACCGCCCACATGCTAAGCTGACTCCATACTGGCTAACATCTGGCCTTCTGCAGTGTCTGACTCAGGGCTGCTGATAAGCTTTCATTTCCCAGAATCCCATGTCTCAAGTGAGATAGGTAGGTAACACTGCAGAATTAGAAAGGAGCCCTTCAGCAGAGTCTCCAGAGAGCCCAAGTCAAGTACGCTCAGCCCACCTCTATCACCAGCCAACAGGGGAAGCCTGGAAACCTGGTTGGCCATGATACCATGTGACCTTTGAGTCTGCAGCCGAGTTCTCATTCTGAGGTTCCCTCTAGTTTTTCAGAAACCTGTTCCTATCACATCCCCTGAAGTACACCCTCTCAGGAATCCCCTCACCCCTGCGCCTCTTTCGTGTGCTCCGATTTCCTCCCATTACTCTGACGCCTCCTTATGGGCTCCTTTTCTCTTCCTAGCCATTCCCTCTCCCCCAGAATGGGGCTGTGCCATGGCTACTTCCTTCCCAAGCACTTTGCCATACAGGGGACATCGGGATGTTTGCCTTAGGAGCTTCCTGCCGTCCCATGGTTCTTGCTGAGGAGAGTACCTGATTGAATTAATGTACCTGTCTTGCCTGCCAGGAGATGTGACCCACTAACCCATGTTAGCTCTAACCCGAGAGCCCCTCAGACCCTGCTACACTAAGTCCAGAGCCACAGAGGGGTCCCTTTAGCAGCCCACCTGGTTGGAGACTCCACATTGGCTGGGGTTTACCTAGAATGCCAGATACTTGAAACACTGAGCCCTTTGAGTGACAGTATTAGCAGGTGGCCATTGTCGTGAGCGAGAATGATCCCTGGACGTCTCGATGATGCTTGAGCCTTTTATGTAACTTTTTATCAAGTCTTTATGTATCTCTACTTATTAATAAAGAAACAAAGAGAAATGCTGTCTTTTTCCCTCTTGCTCGAATACCCCTACTTTTGTGATTTATCAGTCCTTTATCCAAACGCTCACCTTTTCCAGAGCGTGGCCTTGGGCTTAGCCAAACCCAAAGCCCACTGGTGGCCATGGGGACATCTGCAGGAGCCCACTTCCTCCACTGCACACCATCTGCCCCTCTGTCTTTTGTGGGAAACTGTTCTTATATTTAAATGGGATTTGTGACCAACCCCCGCCCCATGACTATTTCACCCAGCTCCTTGCTTCCAATTCTCAACCCCAAAGTCTTGGACTTGCCCTTCGTTCACCTGACCCTGCCTTGTAAGCAAAGACTGTTGATTCCCCCTACAAAATACGTCTAGAAGCTACCCTTTCCCGCTACCTCTACTGTTTGAGCCAATGGTGCCTTTGTTCATGTCTTGTTCTTGTCTTCCCACAGTTCATTCTCAGCACAGCCGGCAGAGAAGTTGGGGGAAGTTTATGAACTTATGTCTCCACTTGGTTTACCCCATCCTCCACCCAATAGCTCCCCCTTATTTTACAGGGATGCCAAGGTGGGCTGTGTCTTTACACATGAGCAATGAATGCATAGATGGTCGTTAGCTGCAAGAGGAGAACAGCGGAATGTGTTCCTGTCCTTCCCATCAGACACTCACCGAGTTCTGAGCCCCACAGCGATGTCACAGAGAACATCAAAATCACGGACTAGGGCTGGAGAGATGGCTCAATGGTTAAGAGCATTGCCTGTTCTTCCAAAGGTCCTGAGTTCAATTCCCGGCAACCACATGGTGGCTCATGTGTATACAGAATATTGTATACATAATAAGTAAATAAATATTTTAAAAAAATCACGGACTAGTGAAGACCAGTCACATATAAGGCCCACTAATTCCATCACTGTTAAAGAGTGAAGATGTCTCTCCTAGGTCTAATCTATAAAAGCACGAGCCCCCCCCCCGCCACACACACACACACACACACACACACACACACACACACGTGTGCATTCATTTTTGAAGGCAAGAGGTCAATGTCAGGTATCCTCGGTTGATCTCCACTTTCTTTAAACGTGGTCTCTCACTGAACCTGCAATGCAGCAGCTGGCGAGGCTGGGCTGGCCGATAAGGTCCAGGGGTCAGACTCTGCTTCACCAGTGCTGCGAGGACAGATGTACGCTGCTCACCCAGCTTTGACATGGGCTGGAACTCGGGTCCTCATGCAAACACTTTATGCTGCCCCACCTTCCATCTCCAGAAGGACTGTTTGAAGAAACCGCTTCGGTTTACTTCGAAGGGGCTGAGTGTCAGGGCCCCAGATGTCACAGGCATCATCACCCTACAACTCCGACCTGCAGACCCAGGCCCTGTCACTAGGCCCTGAGTCAGAATCTTCATTTTTAACAAGATCTCAGTGATTCACGTGCACAGGGACTTGAGCAGTGTTGCCCTAGAAGAAGTTCAGCCCAGATTCTCTGCCTCTGGACCAAGTTCCACCACATCCACTCAACCTGTGGGTCATGACCCCTTTGGGGGTTGAGCAACCCTTTCACAGGGGTCCCCTAAGACCATCAGAAAACACAGGTATTTACAGTGTGATTCATAACAGTAGCAAAATTACAGTTATGAAATAGCAACAAAAATAATGCTATGGTTGGGGATCCCCACAAATGAGGAACTGTATGAAAGGGCCGCAGCATTAGGAAGGTTGAGAGGCGCTGTGCTAGAGAAGATGTGGCTGCCAACAGCTGCAAGAGCCTGCCTAGCCACACCATGAACTCAGAAGTGTCCTCCCATAGGTGGCGCGTGCAACCATTAATTAGAGGACGATTTTGCATCAATTAAAGGATGAACGGGCTTCCAGGTTTTTGTTTTGTTTTTTACTCTTGGGTTTTTCTTAAAATATAGGCAATGGCCAGCTATGATGGTGGACACCTTTAATCCCAGCACTCGGGAGGCATAAACATGCAGAACACCTGTGAGTATAGAGGCCAGCCTGGTCTATACAGTGAGTTCCAGGCCAGCGAGGGCTATGTAGTAAGACCTTACCTTTAAAAAAACAAACAAACAAACAAACAAACAAAACCAGAAAACAATGATCTTGCAGATAAAGTGGAATCTTACCATCTGCCATCCAGGCTGAGAATTCTTCAGGCATCTAAATAAAGGGTAGAGTATTCTATGCAAGTAAGGGATGCTCTGTTTCCAGAATTTTCATTCTCTGTAGTTTCTGGGGTTCCAACATCATGTTCAATAGCTCACCGCTATGCTTAGGTGAATATTTAAGCATAAAAAGGGGGGCTGAGTTCACAGTAAGCAAAGAACCTACAGTCTTTCAGTGCAGAGTGCAGCTGACCACACTCATGCAAGCCATATTTCTGCTTGGTTCTGAGACTGGTGCCTGGGCCAACTAATAGAGGTAAGATCCTGATAAGGGCTTCTCACTGGAGCCAGGGCTTCAGCATCAGCGGGACCATTTGTCCTGCCCCAGACGGTCTGCTGAGCTGAAGCTCCGCTCTCTGTGTTTGACAAGGCCTTCATGGTAGTCCAATGCTGCCCACAGTTTGTGAATCACCAAATTCGGCAGGTGTGGGTGAAAAGTCAAAGCTTCATCCCTGTGGCAATACAGGGATTGCTCTTCTCTGCAAAGCAGCTGTGATTGGGCGATAATGCTCACCCAATCAAACTCATCTTCACTTCCGCATCTAACTAATAAGGGTCCCGCCACATCTGGAGCGGTAGATCCCAGAAGGAGGGTTTTTGACCTTGGTTACAGGTGGGGTGGCTGACATCTTGGAATCAGACGGGAAAACGACAGCTCCACCTCTGCTCTTATAGCTCTCCGACAGTCACTCTGTCGGATTCTCCCTGTGCTGGGGGAACGCTCAGAGGGAAGATGAAGCAGCCAGTTAGCTCCTCTCCATGCTGGGCTCTTCTGGCAGTTTCACAGCCTCAGAGAACAGGAAGGGGAAATGAAAGGAATGAGGAGCCAGCTACCCTGAAGAAGCGCTGACAAAATGGTTAACTGAGTGGAGATGTCCCTGCAGGCCCTCCCACGACATCCTGCAGGAGGGGATGGGGTCAAACTGCCTTTCTCCCAGTTCCCCATACATAACCAAGTGTGTGACCCACATGACTCACCTATCCCCTTCCCCACTGTGGCAAACACCACGTGTGTGTGTGTGTGTGTGTGTGTGTGTGTGTGTGTGTGTGTTAGTGCTGAGAATTGAACCCAGGACCTGTGCATGCTAGGCAAGGATGCTACCACTGACCTAGATTCCTAGCCCCACAGGCAACTCTTATATTTTCATTAAAGAGGGTCCCCTTTGAGGCTGGTCACAAGCTACAACGATATTCCATTTGTCTATCTATATTCTTTACATTTTTATGTCCCTAGGTCCAGAGAAGGAGCTGGTGGCACAGTGGTGATACCTAATGTTTATAAAACAAATCAATAATTATTACAGATGTTGGCCTCCATGCCTTAAAACCCAAGCCATCACAGTTCAAATGTGTCTTCTTTGCTCCTATAAGGTATGACTCTTTCATACCTTATAGCAGACCCAAGATCACTGCAAATTTCAAGTTTCCCGAGGTCACAATCTCACAGTGGCCTCTGCATCTGCCTCATTCCACAGCCTCTCTTCTTGAGTTAATCCCCGCCCCGTTTCCACAAGGAAAACCCATCCTCATAACCACCCTGAACTTTGTGGAGGACTTGCAGGTCCTAAGATGGCCACCAGAGCCTATACCACCAGACCCTCTCCCAGTCTAGTTCCTCCCACATGTCAGATGCCCTCCCCTCAGCCCCTCCCGATGAAGATGCTTTTAAAAAGCCACAGCCCACAATTTCTTCTTAGAAATAAGAGGGAGACTTAAAGTCCCCGGTTTGCTCAGGCAAGGGATTTTCTGGACGCTGACTTGTCAAAGGTCTACTATAGGTCTTGGCCAAACCCAAGCATTAAGAATTAAATGTTCATCTTGTTCTAGCATAACAACCCTAATAATTATGAATTATTAATAACCCAATGAATTAGTTGCAGGTCTTCAGGCCCCAGTAACTGTCGTTGTCCCCTCAGGGTAGGGGTGGCTGGAACACAGGCTTAGGATTTAGCGGCCTTAATTTGCTTTTAAAACCTGTTCTAGGTAATCATGTGCCTCTTGTCTGGCCCTCTGAGAACACTGTATTAGCAAATCCATGGGATACACACGGAGAGCACTCGCTTGCATTGTAGTGTACTTCCTGTAAGGCAGGCAGGGGCCCACTTCTGCACCCACCTTCCTTTACTGATGACCACCTTGTGAACTAGGTGATACAGTGTTTTATAGAAAAAGAAACTGAGGCCAGGGACAGGCAGAAATGACTGGGCCTGGACATGCACCCAGTTTTGCTCCTGAAACCTGTTTGCTACCACCCTGGGCTAGATAGCTAGCCCAGGCTATCTCCCCACACCCATTTTCAATCTTACCGGTGTTTGAGGGAACCCTCTCAACGCCTGTCACACTTCCTTGCTTTCTTTCAAGGGAGCTGAAAGTAGCCCAACTTCCCCCTGAGTGACTCATCACAGCTCCAATGACAGCCATTTTCCAGAGTGTCCGCACCGGAGCCCCACCCAGGGCAGCCCTCACCACGGCCTTGGACACTACCGCCTCCAGTTCCATCTCTCTTTACTGTCCTTAGCAGTGAGACTGCCCAGGTCAAGAAGCCCCCGTGGACAGCATATCGGGTGAGGTCCAGGGGGCCCTGAACATGTTCTAGGACTCTGGCCTTCTGCCTAGAGAACCACCCACAGCCAAGAGCCCTAGCAGCTGTCATCCTCCAGTCTGGGTGGGGGTGGTTAGAATACAGATAGGATTTAGCAGCTTCTCGTTTTGTTTTGTCGTTTTGTTTTGTCTTTCGAGGCAGGGTTTCTCTGTGTAACTGCCCTGCCACTTGCTTTGTAGATCAGGCTGGCCTCAGGCTCACAAGAGATCCACCTGCCTCTGTCTCCAAGGTGTTAGGATTAAA